TTCACCATGTTGACCAGGATGGTCTCGATCTCTTGACCTCGTGATCCACCCGCCTCGGCCTCCCAAAGTGCTGGGATTACAGGCTTGAGCCACCGCGCCCGGCCAACTCCCGTTTTCTTTAGTAATTTTAGCAGCTGAATTGCTGCCTCTTGCCCACTGCTGTCATGCTCAGTGGTGCCGGTGACTTTTCTAACACCCTTGGCCTTGAGCCTCTCAATGCTAGTGAACACTTTCATCCTGCTTCAGTCATGTATATCACAGCCACAACTTGCACCTGAACATCATTAGGAACCAACCTCTCTAGCTTCAAGATCTCAAACCTCAAAATCAGTCTCTCAATCCCTTATAACCCAAGTCCTTAATCCTCACTCTCCACATGCAAGTTGTGAATATTTTTGCTTTAAAATGTTATCAGGGTGGCTCATACCTGTAATCCCAGCACTTTGGGAGGCCGAGGCAGGTGGAATACGAAGTCAGGAATTTGAGACCAGCCTGACCAACATGGAGAAACCCCATCTCTACTAAAAATACAAAATTAGCAAGGCATGGAGGTGCAGGCCTGTAATCCCAGCTACTCGGGAAGCTGAAGCAAGAAAATCGCTTGAACCGGAGAGGCAGAGGTTGCAGTGAGCTGAGATCATGCCACTGCACTCTAGCCTGGGTGACAGAGCGAAACTCAGTCTCAATTTTTAAAAAAAATGTTATCGGGGCTGGGTATGGTGGCTCATGCCTATAATCCCAGCACTTTGGGAGGCTAAGGTGGAAGGATAACTTGAGCCCAGGAGTTTGAGACCTGCCTGGGCAAAAGAGGGAGACCTCACCTCTATTTAAAAAAAAAAAAAAAAAAAAAAAAAATTTAATTGGCAGGGCATGATTGTGGTGCCAGCTACTTGGAAGGCTGTGTGGTAGGATTGCATTAACCCAAGAATTCCAGGCTGCAGTGATTGCACCACTGCACTCAGACCCTTTCTCTAAAAAATAAAACTTAAGTCAAATCACTCACTTGTTCAAAAAATGTGCAGTGAGGCCAGGCTCAGTAGCTCACACTTATAATCCCAGCACTTTGGGAGGCTGAGATGGGAGAATTGTTTGAGTCCAGGACTAAACAGTTGAGACCAGCCTGGGCAACATAGTGAGAGCTAGGTCTCTACAAAAAAATTAAAAATTAGCCAGGTGTAATGGTATGTGCCTGTAGTCCCAGCTATTCAGGAGGCTGAGGTGAAAGTATTGCTTGAACCTAAGAGGTTGAGGTTGCAGTGAGCTATGATCACACCACTGCACTCACCTCGCCCAAAAAAAAAAAAAAAATGTGCAATGACTCCCACTGCCAATTCAGAGTTTTTATGAATGTCTTAATACTTGTCTAGCATATGTGGATGTTTCTGGACTGAAAGTGGCCACCATAGGTTGGCAACAATAGTGTTCCAAGGTTATACACCTGTATCTCAGACAAATTGAAATATAACCATCTCAGAGGTTGGTTTTTTTTGTTTGTTTTTTGTTTTTTTGAGACACAGTCTCCCTCTGTTGCCCAGACTGGAGTGCAGTGACTCAGTCTCGGCTCACTGCAACCTCCGCCTCCCAGGTTCAAGTGATTCTCCTGCCTCAGCCTCCCGAGTAGCTGGGACTACAGGCACATGCCACCATGCCTGGCTAATTTTTTGTATTTTTAGTAGATATGGGGTTTCACTGTGTTAACCAGGATGGTCTCGATCTCCTGACCTCGTGATCTGCCCATCTCTGCCTCCCAAAGTGCTGAGATTACAGCCGTGAGCCACTGCACCCCACCATCTTAGACGTTCTTAAAGCATGTTCCGGGAACCCCTAGGGATCTTGAAACCCTTTCAGGGACGTCTATAAAATAAAAACTATTTTCATAGTAAGATATTATTTGCCTTTCTCTCATCTTATAATTGTACGGAATTATACCAGAGGCTACCTGACATATGATATCACAAGAAATTGAAGAAGCAAATTTCAGAATCTAGGTTTTGGGGTTTTTTAATGTTAGACTTTAAAGAGATTGCAAAAAGGTAAAACAATACCATCCTCATTATTCTTTTTTATTTTAGGATATTTTACATTAAAATGTGTTATTTATGTTAACATGTAATGGGTTCAGGCTGGGTGTGGTGGCTCACACCTGTAATCCCTGCACTTTGGCAGACCAAGGCAGGAGGATCACTAGGTCAGGAGTTGGAGACCAGCCTGGCCAGCATGACAAAATGCCATCTCTACTAAAAATACAAGAAATTAGCCAGGCATGGTGGCAAACACCTGTAATCCCAGCTACTCAGGAGGCTGAGGCACGAGAATTGCTTGAACCAGGGAGCCAGGTGTTGCGCTGAGCTGAGATGGCACCACTGCACTCCAGCCTGGGTGACAGAGCAAGACTCTGCCTCAAAACATAAAAATTTTAAAAATGTAATGAGTTTATAATTGCTATTATTAAATAAGTGTGGTAGGCAAAATAATGTTACCCCCAAAGATGTCCTCCTTCTCCTAATCTCTGAAACCTGTGAATATGCTACCTTACATGACAAAAGGGACTTTGTGGATATGATTAAGGATCTCTTGAGATGAAGGGACTAGTCTGTGTTATCTGTGTGGGCCCAGTGTAATGACAAGAGTCCTTATGAATAAAAGAGGAGGCCAGGTATGGTGGCTCACACCTATAATCCCAGCACTTTGGGAGGCCGAGGCGGGTGGGTCACGAGGTCAAGGGATCGAGACCATCCTGGTCAACATGGCGAAACCCCGTCTCTACTAAAAATACAAAAAAAAAACATTAGCTGGGCGTGGTGGCCCACGCCTGTAGTCCCAGAGTCCCAGCTACTCGGGAGGCTGAGGCAGGAGAATTGCTTGAACCCAGGAGGTGGATGTTGTGGTGAGCCGAGAGCGCCATTGCACTCCAGCCTGGGTAACAAGAGCGAAACTGTCTAAAAAAAAAAAAAAAAAAGAAAAAAGGAAAAAAAAAGAGGAATGGGCCAGGCATTATGGCTCATGCCTGTAATCCTAGCACTTTGGGAGGCCGAGACAGGTGGATCACTTGAGGCCAGGAGTTTGAGACCAGCCTGACCAACATGGTGAAACCCTGTCTCTACTAAAAATACAAAAATTAGCTGGGCATGGTGGTGCGTGCTTGTAATCCCAGCTACTTGAGAGGCCAAGGCAGGGAGAATTGCTTGAACCTGGGAGGCAGAGGTTGCAGTGAGCCAAGATCACACAACTGTACTCCAGCCTGGGCAACAAAGTGAGACCCTGTCTCAAAAAAAAAAAAAGAAAAGAAAAAAGAATGTAGGAGGGACTGTCAGAGGAGATGTGACAATGGATAGAGAGATCAAAGTGATACAATTGCAGTCTTAGGATATAAGGAAGTTATGAGCCAAGAAATGCAGCTTCTAGAAACTGGAAAAAGCAAGGAAAAGAATTCTCTAGAGCCTCCGGAAGGAACACAGCCCTTTGGTTTGATTTTACTTTGATTCTAGTGAAATCTGTTTTGGACTTCTGACCTACAGAACTGTAAGATAATTTGTCATTCAAGCCACTAAGTTTGTGGTAATTTGTTACAGCAACAATAGGACACTGACACAATAACTTTTTAATTTTTCACAATTTTAATTTTCAAGAGAGTAAATACCAATAGATATAATCCATAAAAGGAAAAGCCTCTCTGGGATCCCCAACGATTTCTAAGTGTGTAAATGGGTTCTGAGATGAAAATGTTTAAGAACTACTGCTCTAAATATTAATAAATCCTGTGTCTGTCTTGGCACCCTCTCCTTTGACCTTAGCTCTTGCTATTCTTAACTGCATAGACTGGCTTTGTCTTTGCTAAAGTCTTCCCCATTGTTTAAGATCCATCTTATAGCCTCCCTGCTGATCTGAGATCACTCCAGAGACTTCTCTCAACTTTTAACTGCCCCAATGAATCATTTATCTGCCTTGCCTTATTTATGTCCTGTGCTTGTCTCCTTATTAAATGTGAACTTCTTGAGACCAGGTGTTTCACCCTTACCCATTTCACCCAGTAAGTAATGTTGTATATTGTATATGCATGGATGATGTTGGATATTCCCTATGGAGAAAATCTCGGGCAGTGGGATAGAAGAGACAGTTTTGTTGTGGGGTTCCCCCCCCATTTGAAACATCAGAAAAAATATATATACTCACCGATTCTCAAGAATAAAATAAGGAAGGTAGAATTGTTCAGGGAAAGTCGAGATGCTGTTGACAAAATGACCAAATGACATTGTTACTGATTTTTTAAAAATAATGTGTGTATGTGTGTGTAGTATCTTTAGAATATTTACATTCATTTGATATAGGTGACAATCCAGTTTTCTTCCAAAACAATTTTTTGAAGACAAGCTCTCACTGTATGGCCCAGACTGGAGTACAGTGTGGAGTACAGTGGTGTGATTACAGCTCACTTCTAACCTTGAACTCCTGAGCTCAAGCAATCCTGCCTGGCCTTCCAAGTGGCTGGGACTACAAAAGCACACCACCACAACTGGCGAATTATTTCTTTTTTTTATCTCTCTTCTTTTTTTTTGAGACGGAGTTTCATTCTTGTCGCCCATGCTGGAGTGCATTGGGGCAACCTTGGCTCACTGCAACCTCCGCCTCCCAGGTTCAAGTGATTCTCCTGCCTCAGCCTCTGGAGTAGCTGGGATTATAGGCACCTGCCACCATGCCCAGCTAATTTTTTGTATTTTTAGTAGAGATGAGGTTTCACCATGTTGGCCAGGCTGGTCTTGAATTCCTGACCTCAGTTTATTCATCCAGCTGATGAATTTTAAAAATTTTTTGTAGATAGGGGTCTCACTATGTTGCCCAGGCTGGACTAAACTGGGCTCAAGCAATCCTCCCACCTCAGCCTCCCAAAGCACAAAATGATTTTAAATATTATTACTAACATCTTCCAGTTTTGGAAGGTTAACATTCATTATTTTCTCAAATGAATTTAATAAAAAGAGCAAAAAGAAATCTTCAACTATGTTGTGTACTTTGTCTTTCAATTACATAATTAGAATTTTATTTTTCTTTTTCTCTTTTTTCTTCCTTAAACATGCATGCCATTGTAGAATTTCTTTAATTAAAATTTTTTTTCTTTTTCTTTCTTTCTTTTTCTTTTTTCTTTTTTTTTTTTTTTTTTTTTTTTTTTTTTTTTTTTTTTTTTTTTTTGAGGAGTCTTGCTCTGTCGCCCAGGCTGGAATGCAATGGCACGGTCTCGGCTCATTGCAACCTCTGCATCCCGGGTTCAAGCGATTCTCCTGCCTCAGTCTACCGAGTAACTGGGACTACAGACAATGTGCCACCACACATGGCTAATTTTTGTGTTTTTAGTAGAGACGGGGTTTCACCATGTTGCCCAGGCTGGTCTCTAACTCCTGACCTCGTGATCCTCCCGCCTCGGTCTCCCAAAGTGCTGGGATTACAGGTGTGAGCCACTGCGCCCAGGCTTTTTTCTTTTTTTGAGACGGGGTCCTTCGCTTAAAATATTTGCCCAAGCGGGAGTGCAGTGGCGTGATTGCATCTGAATGCAGCCTCGACCTCCAGGGTTCAAGCGATCCTCCCACCTCAGTCTTCCGATTAGTGTAGCTGGGACTACAGGAGCGAGCCACCATGTCTGGCTTCAATAAGAATTTTTTAAATAGAAATTTTGTAGAAGCGTCTATAGGCAGTTGTTTCACAGCAGCGAAGGGCAGAACCTGGCGATGACATTCAATAAAGGTTGAGTGGACCACTCCTTTGTTCTTTTCCTCTTCCTTGACTCCGCCTCCTTGCTTTCTCTACGCTCCCTTTTCTCTTGTGCTTTTAAACCCAAAGCGGCCGCCGTAGACGAAGTTGGCAAGATGGCTGCCTGTGCTTTTGCTGGTGCGGTGAGAACGGCTTCAGGTTGGTGTAGAGTGACCTGCTCTTTGCATGCCTTCACAGAATGGGGAACTGGTGCAGGATGGAATGGGCGTTTAGATTGAAGGTTAACAAGTAAAAAGGGTTGTTATTTAAGATAAGAGGGTCGCGCCCAATTTTCTCTGAGGCTGTGTGACCGGCAGCCAAGGTCCCCGACTCGCACTCGGGCGGGCCTCTTGTGTCCCGCATTTTACGCTTCCTTGCTAGCTTTTTCTTCCCTAGAAAACAAGCCAGAGAAACTGGGGCGAAGAGGACGAGGGAGACCAAAAAGGCCCACCTAACTTTCTGATTTAGAGACTAAGACCTGCTGCCATTCACGACCTTTGACCTTGAGAATTAATTTCTCCTAACTTCAGATTCTACACCTGTAAAATGGGGGTAATACCACCTACCTGGGGATTAAATGAGATCATGCACGTAAAGCGTCTTGGGAAGTGCCTGACACATAGTAAGCTTGAAGGCTAATTTTTAACCACAGCCCCCGGCACAAGGGCTGGCATGAGGACTTCTTGACTGAGATAGCAGAAGTAAAAAGACTTCTTGACTGAGATAGCAGAAGTAAAGAAGTTAAGTTGCCGTCACTGCCGTTTAGTACTTGTTGCAAAAAGTTAAAGAGTATCTAAATACCGTAGGATGCTCAGTAAGTTACTTTCACACAAGATAAGTTAGGATAAAATCTTGTGGAAGAATATACGAGATTAGTAAAGAAAATGCAACAATGTAAATTTTCCCGTTAGAGAAAAGCTTTTTTTATGTGGAGCATTTTTTTTGTATTCGCGAAATATAATACATATAAAGATAGTTGTGTATAGTATGCATGAATGGTTTGACAATTCTAAAGCAAACACCTGTTTAACATTCAAGTCAAAACACTGCACCACCAGAATGCTCCTCTCCACTGTGTATCAAAATTCTCTGCTTCCCCCAAATAGAAGCGCTGTTCTCATTTTAGTGATTACTATTAGGTTGCCTGTTTTTCCTATAGTAGTTTTAGCATCTGTATGTGCATCTCTCAAAAACATAGTTTTGTCTGGTTTTGAACTTCACATGAATTGACTCATACAGTAAACTCTTTAGTGTCTTCTTTTACATTGTGACATTCATTCATTTTGCATGACTATAATGCTTTCTCATTGCTATGTAATATCATATGACTGTTCCACAATTCTCCATTTCCAGTTTGAGGCAGTTAGGTACAAAGCTGATTTGATCTTGTCCTGGCGAATGAGTGTAATTGTTCCTCAGGGTTTGTGTGTGTGTTTGTAAAACTAGCTGTGGAATTGTTGGGTCAGAGAATATGTATATATTCAGCATTGCCTGGTATTGCCAAACTGTGCCACATCCTCACCAACGCCTGTTATTGTCAGACCTACAAATTTTTGTTCATCTGGTGGCTTTGTAATGATATCTCACTGAGATTTAAATAAGCATTACTCTGATTAGTGACAAGCTGTAGTGTGTTTACACATGTATATTGGCCTTTTGAATTTCTTTTATGAAATACCCACTTAAATATTTTGCCCATTTTCCTATTGGGTTGTCTTATTTATTTAGATTTTTTTTTTTATGTGTATCCTTTATCTTCTCCCACTCCCGCTAGTCTTTTTACATTATTTTGGAGTGTCTGTTAACGAAAAGTTATTTTTCATCTGCTTGAATTTATAGTTCTTGTATTTTTTAAATAGAAGATGTAGGTAGTTATCAACTTACTATTTAGATTCTATTGTAAACATTTTAAAGAGTGATGAGACAGCTTATTTTTAAATGTCAGTATTTTAAATATGTGGGAAATTATAGCTTTTTAAACAATTTAAACTATTTGATATTTTAGATATTAATAATTTGTGAAAGGGTAGTTTTTCAAAATTCTTTTAGAAAACATGAGATCAAAAATCTGTCACACTCTACTCCTCTCCCACCCAGTGCAGTTGATGTCCCCCATTCAGTCCTTTGATTCATGCCACACAGGGCTATTTGTAATTCCCCAAATGTGCATCATCACCTTTGTGCGTCCTGTTCCTTCTGTCTCTTCTTACCCTTTCAAAACTTTGGTTTTGTGTTACCTCTTTTGTGAAAACATCTGTGTTCTCTGTACAAGAGTATGTTTAGAGTAGACTAGTCTGTGAAAATGCCCAGACGGGGACAGAGAATTGAAGGAAATTAGTTACTTCCCTTGAGGTACTGCACTTTTGTTAACAAAGCTAGGCTGTTAGGTTTCCATTACAGGCTTAATCACATGATTGGTCCACCAGATGGGGCAGTAGATAGAGCCTCCCGCCGTCTTTTCCCAGGAATTGCTCTCAACTAAGTTCCCCGTTCCTGTTGTTCCAGTAACCATTTTTTTCTAACTTCAGTGTATTTATTCCTGATTTTGTCTTGCCAGTTTTGATCTGTTTTTTCTTCCCCGCGCCCCCCAACAAGATGGCGTTTCGCTGTTTTTGCCCAGGCTGGAGTACAATGGCGCGATCTCAGCTCACTGTAACCTCTGCCTCTGGGGTTCAAGTGATTCTCCTGCCTCAGCCTCCTGAGTAGCTGGGATTACAGGTGCCTGCCACCACTCCTGGCCAATTTTTTGTATTTTTAGTAGAGACAGGGTTTCACCACGTTGGCCAGGCAGGTCTTGAACTCCTGATGTCAGGTGATCCACCCTCCTCGACCTCCCAAACTGCTGGGATTACAGGTGTCAGCCACCACACCCAGCCTGTTTTTCTTTCTTAACTAAAATCACTTGGAGTTCTGATACTCCGTCTCTTCACAAGTACATTAACAAGACATTGTTCCCAGCTTGTTTTTTTATGAAAATTGATAAATATGCCTTATGCAGCCTCAGGATCTTCATAAAATTGAGAACAAAAGAATTTGAGTTTTTAAAATATTTTTAACTGAGTCATACCAAAATCCGATGACCTATGAAAATTGGAACATTTTCTTTTCTTTTCTTTTCATTTTTCTTTATACCCTTGGTGCCAAACCAGAAAATTGGAACATTTTCTTGTTTACGGTCCTCCAATGCACTTCATCTTTCAAAGATTACCTCCTACCTTATTACATCTGCACATCTTTTCAGTTCTTTGAGGTTTAACTTATTTATACCCGGAGACTTTAATTCCTGCAGTGGGTAGAGAATTTGATTTCCAGAGACTCTATGTAAGGGCTGTCATCAGTTTTCTGCTCCACTGTTGATACTATTTTCAGTTGCAAATTGTTATCTCTTTTTTTGGGGTGGGGGGAGACAGAATCTCATTCTGTCACCCAGGCTGGAGTGCAGTGGCATGATCTCAGTTCACTGCAGCCTCCACCTCCTGGGTTCAAGTGATTCTCCTACCTCAGCCTCGGGTGAGTAGCTGGGACTATGGGCACGTGCCACTCTGCCCAGCTAATATTTTTGTATTTTTAGTAGAGACGGGGTTTCACCATGTTGGCCAAGCTGGTCCCAAATTCCTGAACTCAGGTGATCCAACTGCCTTGGCCTCCGTAAGTGTTGGGATTACAGGTGTGAGCCACCTCACCCCGCCCTGCTATCGCTGATGGAGAAAAGTAAAATAGAGTTTTAAGATGTTCTTCATCAGCCGGCCACCTGTTAGTATACAGGTTAGGCATCTCTCATCTGAAACTTTTTGAGTACCAACGTGACACCACAAGTGGAAAATTCTTTACCTGACCTCATGTGATGGGTAGCAGCCCAAACTTTGTTTCATGTACAAAAATTATTTAGCCGAGTGCGGTGGCGCGTGCCTGTAGTCCCAGCTACTCAAGAGGCTAAGGTGGGAGGATCGCTTGAGCCCAGGAGTTCTGGGCTGCAGTGCGCCATGCCAATCGGGTGTTTGCACTAAGTTTGGCATCAATATGGTGACCTCCCGGGAGCGGGGGACCACCAGGTTGTCTAAGGAGGGGTGAACCGGCCCAGGTTGGAAACGGAGCAGGTCAAAACTCCCGTGATGATCAGTAGTGGGATTGCAACTGTGAATAGCCACTGCATTCCAGCCTGGGCAACATAGCAAGACCCCAACTCTTAAAAATTAAAAATAAATAATAAAAAGGAAAAAAATTATTTAAAATATTGTATAAAATTAACTTCAGCCTATGTGTATAAGATGTATATGAAACAAACGAATTTCATGTAAGATATCTCCTTTATGCAAAATTGAAAAAAATCCAAAATACTTCTGGTCACAAGCATTTCAGATAATATTCAACCTGTATCATCTTTGCTAAGTATTCCTCTTCTTTATTATCTGCCATTAGTATTCATTATATGTTTTCTCTGTGATAAATATTTTCCAAGCACTTTACATGCTTCATCTCATTCAAGTCTCATTACCTCTTCATAATTAACTTTATTTAAATTTGAGGAAACAGGGGCACAGAGAGGTTAAGTAACTTGCCCATAGTTACACAGCAAGGAAGTCTGTGAGCCAAAACCATCTGATTCAAACCCTAGCACTGCTACACCACATGGCCCCTCATCTGTTACATGAAATCATTGCAGTGGAAAATACAGAGTAGTTCTAAGTCCCAGCTGAGTGTCAGACTCAGACGGACCATTAACAGCTTTATTGAGGTAGAATTTACATGCCATAAAATTACCCATTTTATGTGTACAGTTTTATGATTTTTTATTAATTTAACAAGTGGTAGAACCATCACCACATTTTCTTTTTTGGTTTTGTATTAGTGTGTTTTTTTAAATACTTTAAGTTCTCAGGACATTCTCATCATCCTGTGGAACTTCTATAGCACGCACAATTTTGAGTCTCATACTAGACTTTAGTCAGAGTTTACGGGTGGAGTCAGAGCTCCATGAGTGATTCTAATTTGCAGCCATGAACTATTAGTCTGGCCATAGTGGGAAGGACTGGTAAGAGGACTGCATCCAGACCACACATCTAGCTCTCTGAAATCTGCCTTCTGACCTGGTCCATCTCACTGCCCACTCTTCCCCAGGCATCTCTGATAGTCAGGCGAGCAGTCTCATCCTCTTAGGCAGGTCTGGTCCTCAACCTGTACATGTACAGTTGACCCTGGGAACAACACAGCAGGTGGGGTGTCAACTCCCATGCAGTTGAAATCCAAGTATAACTTTTGGCTCCTCCAAAACTTAATTACTAATAGCCTACTGTTGGCCAGAAGCCTTAACAATAATAAAAACCATTGATTAACATATATTCTCAGGCCAAGCACAGTGGCTCACACCTTTAATCTCAGCACTTTGGGAGGGCAAGGCAGGTGGATCGCTTGAGCCCGGGAGTTCAAAATCGGGCTGAGCAACATGGCAAAATTCTGTCTTTAGTAAAATTAACCAGGCATGGTGGTATGTTCTGTAGTCCCAGCTACTCGGGAGGCTGAGATAGGAGGATTGATTGAGCCCAGGAGGTCAAGGCTGCAGTGAGATATGATCATACCACTGCACTCTAGCCTGGGCAACAAAGCAAGACCCTGCTTCAAAAAAAGAATTTTAAAAATATATATTTTGCATGTTATGTGTATTATATACTCTTACAATAAAGCAAGCTAGAGAAAAGAAGGTCATAAGGAAGAGAAATTGATTACTGTTCATTAAGTGGAAGTGGATCATCATAAAGGTCTTCATCATCTTTACATTAAGTAGGCTGAGGAGGAGTTGGTTTTGCTGTGTCTGGGATTGCAGAGAAAGAAGAGGTGGAGGAGGTAGAAGGAGAGGCTGGACAGGCAGGCGCACTTGATGTAAATTTTTTTGAAAAAAATCTGTGTATAAGTGGCCCTGTGCAGTTCAAACCCATGTTTTTCAAGGGTCACCTGTATTTGTTTCAGTCCCTGTGCTTTTGCTTATGTTGTTCATCCTGCCTGAAATGTGTTGCTCCTCTTCTAAGGGCCTGTTCACTTTCTGGAGGAGAACCCAAGTGCCTCTTCTCTTTTCTTCAAGATTCTTTCTCTTGCCACTCTTGTCTCTTCAGGAAGGGTCCAAGCTCTTATGTCCCTGACCTGCCATTGTACTGTGTGTGAGAGTTCTGTCTCACCAGAATATAAGATCTGAGAGGTGGGAACATAGATTACACACATCGTTTTTCCTAGTACTGGACATAGAGCTAGCAAACATCTGACTGGATTGTGATGATGGTCGCACAGCTCTCTAAATTTTCTAAAAATTGTTGAATTGTATATATAAAATGGGTAATTATTTTATGGCTATACCTTAGGTGCTAAAAGCTTCCAGGTGAATCTGATGCTCAGGGCACGTTAATTTTGTATAATACTTGGTGGCATTGATACATCTCCTAATTTTTAATATCTGGATGCATATTTTGGAGTATTATATTAAGTATATATGCTTCTGTCTTTACAGGAATCCTACGGCCCCTAAATATTTTGGCATCTTCAACCTACCGAAACTGTGTCAAGAATGCCTCTTTTATTTCTTCATTGTCCACTGGACGTTTTGGTCATATTCAGACACCAGTTGTTTCCTCCACTTCCAGACTTATCACATCTGAGAGAAACGTGACATGTGGGCATACTTCAGTGACCCTTAATAGGTAGAGTATATTTCTTTCTTTCTTTCTTTTTTTTTTTTTTTTTTTTTTTTTTTTGAGACAGAGTCTCACTCTGTCACCCAGGCCAGAGTGCAGTGGCATGATCTCGGCTCATTGCAACCTCTACCTCCTGGGTTCAAGCGATTCTTCTGCCTCAGCCTCCTGAGTAGCTGGGACTATAGGCGAGCGCCACCACACCCGACTAATTTTTGTGTTTTTAGTAGAGATGGGGTTTCACCATATTGGCCAGGCTGGTCTCAAACTCCTGACCTCATGATCTGCCTGCCTCGGCCTCCCAGAGCTCTGGGATTACAGGCACGAGCCACCATGCCCAGCCGGTAGGATGTATTTCAGTAAATGTGATGCTTAGACAAACTTTCCAAGATATTTATGCCTGCAAAGGTATCCTAGAAGTAGGTGGTATTCTTTGCCCACCTGCAGTTAGTTGTGCAGACTGACTTCGGCTTGATTGAGTGGGAGACTCTAACTGACATCCATGTATCTAGGTGCCTATGGCAGGAAAGTGCCAAACACAGCATGCTTCTGATGTTGTATGTATGCTTTCCTGCATGGAAGCGTCATCCAAAGTGGAGGGTGAACAAGATGCTTAGCTTATAAGGCTAAGTTGCGTGTGTTGGTCATTCAGTCAGCAAACATTCAGTTAAACACCCCGGGTGCCTAGCACTGTACTTGGCAAAAAGGACACAAGGATAAGCAAGTTGAAGTCCTCAAGGAGTTTGCAATCTGGTGGGAAGATGGGTAAGAAATCAAAGTATGATAATAGAGTGAATTCTTTTACAGGGACTGAGGGGGTGGGTTTTAGAAGACTTGTGAGTTGGTGATTGTTGCTATTCTTATTCATGTTTAGTCTCATGGCTCATTGGAAGTAACACTGTATATGAAAAGTTAGCTCCATTCCATTGGAGCAGCTTCACTAATTTCTTATTATAGATATGAATTTTAATCCTTTAATCAGTCTGATTACAAGCTAAAAATTTTAAAATATATTTTAGAGTGGCCCCCTTGCTTCCAAGTGTCCTGAAGCTGCCAGTCAGATCTCTAACATACTTCAGTACACAAAAAGGCAAGAGAAAGACTGTGAAAGCTGTCATCTACAGGTTTCTTCGACTTCATTGTGGCCTTTGGGTAAGGAGAAAGGTGAGTCTTCACACTGTTACTTATTTGAAAAAGGAGTATGAATAGATTAAAATGAAGCAGAATTCAGCTGGATATGGTGGCTCACTCCTGTAATCCCAGCACTTGGGGAGGCCAAGGCAGGCAGATCACTTGAGGTCAGGAGTTCAAGACCAGCCTGGCCAAAATGGTGAAACCCCAGCTGTACTAAAAATACAAAAATTAGCCGGCTTTGTGGCGGATGCCTGTAATCCCAGCTACTTGGGAGGCTGAGGCAGGAGAATCACCTGAACCTGGGAGGCAGAGGTTGCAGTGAGCCAATATTACACGACTGTACTCCAGACTGGGCGACAGAGTGAGACTCCGTCTAAAAAAAAAAAAAAAAAAAAAAAAGAAAGCAGCAGTTCCCTTTTATTACTTGGAAATTAAATAATTCTTTAAAGATCAAAATCTGGTTCCCTGTAAAAATAAAATAGTTGGCAGAACTTTCTTGCTGTTTAAAAGGTTGAGAGGATTCTCCCATCTTATAAACAGTCTTAAATTTGTAAATAAATGGGTTGACTGGAACTCTCAGCTCATTTCTCTATTGAAACACTGTGGTGGATGGTTTTCTACACCAGTCAAAAGAAGCTCATATAATCCATAAGTAGCTGAACTAAAGTTCTGATGGTTCTGAGTTTTGTGAATTTGGGACCATTGGAAACATTTCTTACCTTTTGTGTGTTGTTTTTTCTATCGCCCAGGCTGGAGTGCAGTGGTACGATCTCAGCTCACTGCAACCTCTGCCTCCTGGATTCAAGCAATTCTTTTGCCTCAGCCTCCCAAGTAGCTGGGATTACAGGTGTGTGCCACCATGCCAGGCTGATTTTTGTATTTTTGGTAGAAAATGGGTTTCACCATGTTGGCCAGGCTAGTCTTGAACTCCTGACCTTAAGTGATCCACCTGCCTCAGCCTCCCAAAGTTCTAGTATTATAGGCATGAGCCAAGGCGCCTAGCCACCGCTCCCCCCACCACCGACTCACTTTGTTTTTATACCAGTTATTTCCAGGTCCTCATCTAGCCCTCGGCAGAATAAAATGGGTGGATTTCCTTGCCTTCCTTTCCATTTACCTCTTACTGGGCTCTGGAGTCCTCATGTTACTGTAAAGGACCTGATCATACTCTCCAATCATAATCCTAGTTTCATTTCAGGGCTCTCAAAAAGTATACCATGTATAGAATGCCCTGCTTCTTCAAAATCTAATTTTCAGAGGAAAAAAAAAATCTGGGTAGATTAATTTATACTAGTGTGTAAAACAAAGTATTTTCCATGACATGGTTTTATCCAGTAGTCCTTGATATTTATTGTTTATTTCCTTCTTCTTTTTTTTTTCTTTTTTTTTTTTTTTTTTTTTGAAGTGGAGTTTTGCTTCTGTTGCTCAGGCTGCAGTGCAGTGGTGTGATCGCAGCTCACTGCAACCTCCACCTCCTGAGTTCAAGCGATTCGCCTGCCTCAGCCTCTTGAGTAGCTGGGATTACAGGCGTGCACCACTGTGCCTGGCTAATTTTTTTGTATCTTTAGTAGAGACAGGTTTCTCCATGTTGGTCAGGCTGGTCTGGAACTCCCAACCTCAGGTGATCTGCCTGTCTCAGTCTCCCATAGTGCTGGGATTGCAGGTGTCAGCCACCACGCCTGGCCCCTCCTCCATTATTGAATCTGGAGATTGTCTAAAAAATTTCAAGCATTTTCATAGTGGTTCCATTCCATGAATAATCTTTAAAGGATCCTGGTGGTAATGAGCAGGACAGCAAATTAGGTATTTGTACGTCAGAGATCCATAGTAACCTTGTTTGGCCTGCAAACTAAAAAATTACTACACAAATGTAGAGATTTGGTTTTGAATCTTTGCATTTAAAATTGTAAGCAATGAGTGGCAAAAATCTAACTTCCAGCGTTTTAAAACCAGAACTCTTAAATAACCTTTCCTTATTTCATCACTGTTCTTACAGAAGTTGATGGTCACAGTGATGATACTAAGACATGTCAGAAACCCATGGCACGTTCTCAGCAAACAGCCATGGCTTTGTTCAGTTGGTATTGTGCCACAAAGAGCCCTTGGCTTGAAAGGACCCAAGGGCTTGCTGTGTGGTTTTAGCCAAATGTTAAGCTGGGTGGCACCTAAGATCCCTTGTGGTTTAAACAAGCTATGATTATAGTGTTGGTTTTATTTTTTGTTTTTTGAGATGAAGTTTTGCTCTTGTTGCCCAGGCTGGAGTACAATGGTGTGGTCTCAGCTCACTGCAACCTCCGCCTCCCAGGTTCAAGTCTCCCGAGTAGCTGGGATTACAGGCATGCACCATTATGCCTGGCTAATTTTGTATTTTTAGTAGAGATGGTGTTTCTTTATGTTGGTCAGGCTGGTCTCCAACTCTAGACCTCAGGTGATCTGCCCGCCTTGGCCTAGTTTATATATTCAATCTAATTTTCCTTGTCTTTAAAAATAAATTATTCAAAATGAGTAATACATGTATGGGTGTATATGAAAGTTCTGGGATAAACATATGGATTAACCATTCCTTCACTACTCCTAATGATAGTCTTACCATATTCATAATTCCTTAGAAAAGTACTTCCTATAAAATTTAGTCCCTTGTGTGTGAAAAGTATAAATGAAGTCATGTATTTGAGAACTGTGTGTCTCAGCTCTTGCTATACTCAGCCTCCTTAATAAACATTAATGTTGTTACCCTAGCCAGCACTCCATCCTCCTCTACATTAGGAAAGACAGTAGTTAAAAACTCTTACTAGCCTGGGCAAGATGGTGTGACTTTATCTCTATAATAATTTTAAAAATTAGCTTGGTATGGTGGTGCACACTTGTGGTCCCAGCTATACAAGAGGCTGAGGCAGGAGGATCACTTGAGCCCAGGAGGTAGGCTGCAGTGACTGCGATCATGCCACTGTACTCCAGCCTGAGTAACAGAGTGAGACCCTGTCTCAAAACAAGACAAAAAAAGAACTTTTATTAGCTCTCAGAATTCTGTCTGCTCCCGCTGTAATCAATGGTTTCTTTTTTAAAATACGTAAAATGAGAATAATAGTATGTTGTTAAAGATTGCTGAAGAGATAGTAAGACCATGCCTATAAAGTTAGTAATTATAATTCTATGTTACCTTGTACTTTCCCAGCCACATTTAGTTTTATTTTCTGTGAGTTTAATTTAAATAACATTTAAAAAACATATATTATGTATTACTATTTCTTTTTCAAACTACACATACTTTCTCCATCCACCCCTCATTGAGAATCACATGTTTCCAAAAAATATTCCAGCCCCTATGGAAGTCTGGTTTTTGTTCTTACTGGGTCTATAAACCTTGAGTTGTGAAGATACCTGTTGTTTTCTACATAATATGATGTTTTACATTTCTTTGTAATATCTGATAGGCTGGTTATAAGAAAAAACTATGGAAAAAGGAACCTGTAAGAAAAAAGCGACTGAGGGAATTTGTATTCTGCAATAAAACCCAGAGTAAACTCTTAGATAAAATGACGACGTCCTTCTGGAAGAGGCGAAACTGGTATGTCGACGATCCTTATCAGAAGTATCATGATCGAACAAATCTGAAAGTATAGATCAGAAGTTTCACTTGTTTCTCAGTTATTGAATTGTATCTTTGTGTACATGATATCTTTGCAAAAATGAATAAGCGTAAAACTTGATGTAAATTGTACCAATGAATATGTAAAGATACAGTGACAACATTAAACTTGTACAAGATTTAAAACTTAATGGATCAGACTTTGCCAGACTTGGTTAGGGAAACATAAGTTTAGAATTGTGCTTTATTTTTAACAAATGGTATTGGCTTAACTAGTTGTTTCAATTAGACTTATTTAGTTGCAAGGAATCTCAAGTGGGACAAACAAAAAGACTCAAAAGTTGCAAGTTAGCTCAAACAATGTGAAATTATTTTAAGGATATGGGCCTGGGAATTCAGGAGCCACCTCACTAACCCCATCTCCCACCCAGAAATCACCCCCCAGCATCAGGAAGAGTAGAAGTTGGGTGGTGTTCCTCAGCAGGAGAAGGTGGATGTTTAGGCGTGGGCTCTGCCACACATTTGACTTGGTTCTTTTTACATTGTTAACTCCATTCTCCCTGTACTCACTAACTTCTCTAATTCACAGCTTTTGCATACTTACAGCTTCTGTTTCCTTGTAATAACTTTAACTTGCACCTTTGAGGTTCTTTTCTACATCATGACTTTCAGCTCCTGTCTCTAGTCTCTAATTGCCAAGGGAATTTAACTGGGCCAGACTACCTTTTTATACTAGGTCAGGTCAGGCCATTGTCTATAGTAGGTATTGGCTGCTGTTCTTAAGTCAGGAGCCCACCCTAGCCCACAGTGTATTAGCAGGTTTGCATGCAGCAAAAAACAGTTATGTGAGCAATTTCACTTGGAGGTTCACATGGGGTGACAGCACACTTAATGTCTAACATACCAGGTTCATTGTGTTCATAACACTTCTCATTTATTGTAACAACATTTTTTCTTTTTTTTTTTTTTTTTTTTTTTTGAGACAGAGTCTCTCACTCTGTTGCCCAGGCTGGAGTGCAGTCGTGCGATCTTGGCCCACTGCAACCTCCGCCTCTTGGAGTGATTCTTCTGCCTCAGCCTCCCAAGTAGCTGAGACTACAGGCCCGCGCCACCACACCCAGCTAATTTTTGTATTTTTAGTAGAGACTGGGTTTCACCATGTTGGCCAGGATGGTCTCAATCTCCAGCTAATTTTTTGTATTTTAGTAGAGACAGGGTTTCACCATGTTCTGTAGGCTGGTGGCAAACTCCTGAGATCAGGCAATCTGCCTGCCTCAGCCTCCCAAAGTGCTGGGATTACAGGTGTGAGCCACCACGCCTGGCCAATTTTTCAACAATCATTGTAGAAACTAGTGGGGGAAAGAGTAATCTCAGTTGTTTTAGAAATGATGGAAGGGTTTAGCATTGTTTACTTGAAGCAGGTGGGAAGCAGCGCTGACTGAGTAAAATTCAATTGAGTGGTTATAGTCTAGGACAATTAGGGGTATTCCTTGAAACCAGTATGTGTTCATTAAAAGAAGAAGGGATAACAATAGAATTATCTAAAATATGTGTCTATTTGTGGGACCAATAAATAAAGAACAGACATTTGATTTGAACTGAGGTAAGAGCCTGAAACATGGAATGGCGTTCTGTTTTGATGGATTTTCATTTCTTTGCACTTCTGAGATGGCAAAGCCAACCACTTACAAGGCTTCCATATCTTTCTCACCTGCCTGGCTCCTGCCTGCTGATGTACCTCTGGGTAGTGGGATGGAAATGGTATCTGCAGAAGTTTGGGAGAAGGACAGTTTTGCACAGTCTCCATGACTTCTTTAATGCAAATATGGACGACAAGGGTCTCTTAACAGGGGCCTCAGAGCACCTTTGTTTCTCCCCTAGACCAGGGACAGGAGGTATAGAGATAAAGACTGGCAACCAGAGCCTCAGCATCCAAAGATGGACTGAAGTGGGAGGGCTGACAGGAATTTCATACATACAATTTTAGTTTTGTGGGTAGGAGGGATTATCATCACACTGATTTATAATCTGACAATAAAATGTCTTTCATTAAAGAGTTTACCTAAATGATGTTCAACTATATGTATAACATAAAATATTAATAGATGTATAATTTGTTTATTCAGGTATATATATAATTTATTGAATACCTACTGTATCCCAGCATATCTACAAAACTGGATACATACATATCTATCTAATTGCTAATCCACATTTCTAGCCTTAAAAAGGACATAATGATTAGTTAAGTCCTAATTTAGATTTGAGGAAACCGAAGCTGAGAGAGGGTTAAATAAGTGACCCAAAGTACAGCTAGCAAGACCCAGAATCTCAGTCTCACTCCTGGGGATCCTGTGTATTTCCCTGAGCCTTCTAACAACACATGAAAATTCATATCTAAATCAACAAATGACTGTAGTATGGTTCTATAAATACTAAACACTTCATAACACTGTACCAGTTCGGCTTTTAAATTTTATTACTTTGCTTTCCTGTCCTTTGCCAACTCTTAACCTTGTTAATCTCAGCTCTGTCGACATTGGACCAGGCTCAGTAAACAAACAAGTGAATGGATTTCCAGCCTTTTTTTCCCATCTCTTCCTGCTTTTAGTCCTGTGAATCTGCTGCTTACCACTGCTTTATTTTACAGTCCTTTTGTCAAACATAGAATACAGGACTATAAAAGCAAAGAAATTGGGTCTGTTTAATTTTGATGTTTCAGATTTTGAGCGTTCACGTCTTTGTGGACACCCAATGAAGTGTGAGTCTTCCTGTTCAGATATGAAAGGTAAAGGCTGCAGCAGGTTTAAGGGCATCCCTTCCACCCACAGTGGCCCTGTACCACCCTGTTGTCACTTGCACAGGTACTCCCCCATTTGCAAATGAAGAAATGCTCAGAGAAGAAAAATGATGGGCCAAAGGTCTGTTTGCACAATTTAAACCCTACCAGTGGACTATTCTATTTTCACAGCTACCTAGTTTCTGCTGATGATTTTTTAAAATGTAAAACAGTTATACTTTCAGGTTTGTAGTTGTGTGAGGAACTCGTTTTCAAAACACATCATCTGATTTTCTTTCCCTCTCAACATCCTGTGCAACAGGCATAGGGCCAAGTCAGCAGGCCAGTCGGCTGAACACTCAGCTTCTAATCCATGTTACCTCCCATATTTGAAAAAAAGTATTTCCTCTTTCCTCATAAGCCCAACCTTACAAAGATGTTTTTTTAAAAGAAAAATGTTAAGACTTTATTCAAGATGTGTATCAGGCATTATAACAAAACAGCAGAACTTCAACCTTTGGAATACTGTAATTTTACATCCCTTTGATGCACAGTCCAGTATACTATTTTATTACAGATCGTTCTATAGGGACTACAGAAATGAACTAGAGGAAATGTGCACAGTCACAATCCAGAATATCAGCTCTGGGAGTGTACGCTGTTAGAGGATGAAGCACATCCTTTGCCATTTCAAATACTGTGCCAGGTGGAGGACTAGGAAGGCTCAAAGATGGTCATGGTTGACAAGCATTCTTATCACAAACACATGGACAGCTTATCACGGAGAACATACATTTCAACGGCCAGCAGAGTGAGCAAGCTATTCACACAGCCAGGAGGGATTATGACTAAACTCCAGTTCATAAGCACAAGTCCACATCTCACCTCCTCAGAACAGGTGCTCAATGGCAATTAACTAAAAGTTAGGACATGAACATTACAGACTTTCCAGCTAGTATTTTGTAAACAGCCTGTGTCTGTAAGTCAGCAAGCTAAGAACATTCAGCTGTATCCTCATGACAGAACACCACACCGCTACATGTACACTTACAGGCTTTCACATTTTATGTCAGTCCATACACAAATGTACAGCTTGTCAGATACGTAAACACATTTTGCCAGAAATATGACAGCTGCTCTCAGTTGTACAGTGAGTGTCTTTAAGAGAGAAACTGACTCCCTAGTCAACACTTGAAGGAAAACTAGTTACATTTACATTAAGACAGCAGTTTGGATACCTTTATATTTTTCAATTTTGAATGAGAAGTAATACAGCATGTCTGAGAATAGAGCGCTTCAAACTTTTTTGGCATAGTTTAGTGCAAATTTGATAACCTGTAGTTGTCACAACTTTCCATTGTAAAGTGGTGAAAATATAGCTTGTTCACAATAACATTTTAAACTGCTGCTAAAGGCAATTTACTGTTTGGCAAAAAAAAAAAAAAAATTGCTAAGAAGCTATGTAAGCTTTTTTTTTTGCAATTGTTTCTGATAATTCTGCGTACTTCCAACTAACAGGTAAATATATTTTAAAGAGTATTATTCTGTCTGGAACTGCTTATTGAGCACGAAGAAAACATTTTCTGTCTTCCTTAACAGATTTAGGTATTGGTGGGTGTGGGGCACAGAAGATGTGCAAACAGCCTCTATTTATCCTCTCAGCCACAAATTTGCTTTTAGGTGTATTTTCCTATACCCTTTTGTAGATTACAAAATCACCTTCAGAGGAACTATGGGTAGACTGGATTCCAATATGCATCTCTGGCAACAGTCAGCTTCAAATCAAACCCTTTCTGGGGTGGCTAAGATCCAGCTAATGTGTCATCAGCAAAGGCCTCTAATGTGTGTTTGCGTAGCTCAGTAATGGAACAGTTTTTAATTGGGCCTGTTTATAGTTGGTTGACAGTTCTATATGGTATATAACACTAATTCTCTAGTCTGTCTTCTGGGCATATCTACGAACAAATACAATCCAAATATTATGAGTAACTGGGTTGTGACCACTGCATGCATTACACTGAAAGAAAACACCAACTCTAAGCACAAATATTCTATTCTTACATTGCAGCTCAGCTCTCAGTGGGGAGAGCAGCTACCTGGGACCACAATGCCATTTAAACCAGATTCTTTTCAAATAAAATTCTCAATCTAAGTGGAAAGTCCTATCAGAGAGTGCTCTATTCCCTTACTAAGCAGTCCAGGCTTGTATAAAATGTCTGATAAGGCCTAGAGTGCCCATGAGTGTGAGTCTGCTGTTTCCATTCTGCACAGGCCAGGAAGGGAACAGAAGGTGTGAGCCACAGGTGCTCATGGGTCTGACCAGCATGTGTAACTCATAAAGATCTCAACCTCTAAAACCATTCTAGAGCCCACCATTTTGACTGTTACCCATGTGTTTCAGATGTATGTTATGGCTTATCCGAAACAGCACAGTTCTCAGGTTTTTTTGTGTGTGTTTTTGCTAAGCTAAACAAGGTTCACCAGAGTTTGCTAAAACAAGGTGCTCAGAGTGTAAACTCCTCTGGGGAAATCAGCAGCAGCACTGGTCATGATAAAGGAGAATCATCCTTTGTCAAGCACAGAATTACTCCAACAGCTCTACATGTTCTCATCCTCAAGAAATTGGGCCAAGGGCAAGCTACCTGCCCTTGGAAAAGATTCAGAAGGTCCTAATCCAGACTCCAGGGAGGAGATGAGCTTCCTGCGACTCTTCTCTTATCCTAGGATGTTCCCCTGACCTCTCATCACATTCTACTGTGTTGTGAAATATTGTTTTTCTTCATTCATAACTTGTCTGGTCTTTTGACTAAACAGCTATCTAAAGAATATAGATCGCATTCCTGCAGGGAAAGGGATGTCTTACTGGAGCTGTATTTGGAAACTTTATAAGCACATCTGATTTGTTCTCTAGAATCAAGATTTTTTTTAATATCTCTGTTTTTGTAGTTTTCTTACATATCAGAACCTCTGGCAGCCCTTGCAAGTCCATCATATTAAGCCAAAAGCCATAAATATGTACATCAGTTCAAAGTATTAGTACCAAGAACAAAGAAGGTTTAAAAAATGCTTTGTTTGCATTTACAGGACTAAAAACTAAGTATGCAACAGATAGATTACAAATGTACATCTCAGCAGCATAGGGGTGATTCTCTTATCTTTCTAAAAAAACACACTGCTGTCTATGACAATCCAACTGTGGAAAATTATCAACCTCAGAAGACTTAAAGGTCACCACCCCTGCGCCTACTACCTTTCCCTTTAGCCTCTCCCTAGGAAAATAAAGAAAAGGGGGAAAAAATCCTTAAAAGTGGAAGGGGAGAGATAAAAGGCCATGTTTGTGAGGCTGCACGCACAAAGCACATCCAGCTTGCGGATTTTTGTTATTAGTGAATAGCTCTTTAAGGCAGAGAAGAAACATTCTGTGGATCCGGTGCAGTTGGCTCTCTCACTCACGTGGTTTCGGTGGCCGAGGATGAGGTACTTTTCTTCCTGAAGCGAGATCGAAGAATTCTAGGCGGTGCCTGGTAGAGAAAACAGAAAGGTGTCCCTCAGTTTGGTGTAAATGTGGGATCTTTCGAGGTCAGCACCTGGAAGCCATTGTGTTGAGACTTCCAGCTCCTTTGGCCAAATGCAGCTGGCTGGGGCTGGGATCTATCTGAATCTCGTAACAGGAAGCAATCATCAGAGTCCCATCCCCCATATCCCATGAAACTGACCATTTTGAGAGGCTGATGCCTCCCTCTTAAATTATGCTCCTCGATCTCCCAAGGGAATGGTTGTGCAGAATGACACATCTTTCTTGTTTCCGCCTGAGGAGCAAAATGATCTTAAATGATTCAGCAGAAAGAGACACCTCCTCATCACTTCCTTTGCTTTTGTTACTTCCTTTGGGAACCAGCCTAACGTTTTTTGGTACATGCCTCAAATTTCCATCACTAAATTTCTAGTTCCCTTTCTGGATGTGAAACCTTCTAATACACAGCGTACCACACCACAAAGGCAAACACCACCTTGAAATACAGGTTGAATGTCCCTTATCCGGAAATGCTTGTGGTCAGAAGTGTTTGGGAATTTAGATTTTTTGTTTTTCAGATTTTGGAATGTTTGCATATACATACCAACTGCACATGCTAATCTGAAAGTCTGAAATTCAAAGTGTTCCTATGAGCATTTCCTTTGAACATGACCTTTGTACATCTTGTCTGTGCTCAAAGAGTTTCCGGTTTTCTGATTAGGGATGCTCAACGTATATAAGGGCTCCGCCTCATCTCTCCTACAAATGACTCTCAAGGGACCCCGCCATCCATGGGATATACAAATCACAGGAGGAGTTCCTATTTCAGTGAAAACGAAGTGAACATTTTCTGGCACAGCACTGGAGAGGGTTCACACAACTGGCCCAACCTACCCTGAGCACCCATGTCTGTCCACTTATCTGTAAACACAGAGAACTTCTTTCTCTCCACTGTGCCCATTCACACCTCTATTCCTTCTGACTGGAAGCCCTTCCCTCCCTCCTCTGTCTTGCATATTTCTAGGCCTCCTGAGGACCCAGTTCAAAAGGCACTTCTGCAAAGGTTTCCCAGAGCCCCTCCCGCCACTGCCCAGCCACACACAAGCAGGCATCATCACTGCCTTTGTTCTCTCATCATGTTTTGTACATGTCCCACAGCAGAGGACTTTGCACCCAGTGAGAAGGGGGTTGGGAGGGGCGGGGCTGCTCACTGTCCCCACCAGACTGGGGACTTCCTGAGGGCAGGCCCATGTCACATTTGCCACCATTTCCTGGTGAGTGGCTCAGTGCTGGGCAGACACGTAGAAGGGAGGCAGTGAATGAGCCAGAGAACAAGACTCAGGCCCTGTCATGGAATCCTCATGCTACAGTCTTACCACTAGGAAATGCTTACCAGCTGCCTCTAGACAGAGACGGAAAAAAGAAACAATGGAACCCACCTTTCCAGTAATGTGCCTCTTGGTGGGCTGGCGAACAGTAAACAGTAAAGCAGCTTGTGCAGCTTCAATAAATAAAAGCAAAACAGCACAAACCCTTGGGCCCTAGAATTCTTTTTTTTTTTTTTGAGACGGAGTTTCGCTCTTGTTACCCAGGCTGGAGTGCAATGGTGCGATCTCGGCTCACCGCAACCTCCACCTCCTGGGTTCAGGCAATTCTCCTGCCTCAGCCTCCTGAATAGCTGGGATTACAGGCACACGCCACCATGCCCAGCTGAATTTTTGTATTTTTTAGTAGAGACGGGGTTTCACCATGTTGACCAGGATGGTCTCAATCTCTTGACCTCGTGATCCACCCGCCTCGGCCTCCCAAACTGCTGGATTACAGGCGTGAGCCACCGCGCCCGGCCGGGCCCTAGAATTCTTTAGGCTGGGCTCCCATCCCCATCATGAGGCTGCCCAGGCCGGATTGCCCAGGCTGGACTCCTCTAGCAGCGTCCAAGCCCAAAATATCCTTTCCTAAATTCTCTAAGTTTAAAAGGGATCCATGTGTAGCACATCTTGGAAAGGAACCTGATGAACCGCACATGGAGGTGGTGATAATTACAGTCCTAACGAATAAGAATGCTAGGCCGCTGTGTTTGTGGAGGGGATATTTTCGAGGCATCTCCCTATATAAGTGTCACAAGGATCTGTACGGGGACTTCCTATTTGCTTCAGATGGCCTCTCAGGCTGCGATACTCGGCAGATGAGGAATAGGAGAGGAGACCTTAGGAAGCAGAGAGGAAGACTGGGGTCCTTGCCCCTGCGCTCATAACTGGTGACTCCCTATCCACCTCACAAAGCAAGGCCCAGAAAGCTCCAGGCTCAGCCCTCCTTCTGCCAGAATTCCATTCACATCCTACAGCTGACAATAGCATATATGTGAAGTGTTTTGGTTTTGGTAATTCTAAAGGGCTGTACCCTGTTTAGTAACATTTCAGGAATAGCTACTTTGTACCAGGCACTATGCTGTGTCTTGGAGATACAGTGATGGACAAGCCTTATTCTTATTTATAAAAACTTTTCAAATAACACATTCTGAGTTTTCTTCCCCCCAAAATACCCATTTGGGTTGCTTTTCACTTGTATATCAACTTAGATTAGTACTTGTTAATATCTGGAAGAAACAAAATAAAACAATAAAGACCTAGATACTTTACTACTCTATTACTTTTTCTTTTTCTTTTTTTTTTTTTTTTGAGATGGAGTCTCACTCTGTCATCCAGACTGGAGTGCAGTGACACAATCTCACTGCAACCTCCGCCTCCCAGGCTCAAGCAATTCTCCTGCCTCAGTCTCCTGAGTAGCTGGAATTACAGGTGTGTGCCACCACACCTGACTAATTTTTGTATTTTTAGTAGAGACGGGGTTTCACCATGTTGGCCAGGCTGGTCTTGAATCCCTGACCTCAGGTCATCCACCCACCTTGGCCTCCCAAAGTGCTGGGATTACAGGCGTGAGCCAGTATATCCGGCTCACACTCCTATTTCTAAATGAAATTAATAGGATTTCCTCCCCTTGGCAAGTAACTGGAGGCTATCCAGTGGCTGGTTCTGCTTGTTTGATGGAAAGAGATCTTTCCATCCCAGGCATTGAGGAGATGTTGGTGCCGGGAGATGCTGCTCCTGGGACTCCCAGTCTCCAGGGCACAGCCCTTGGACAAACACACTCCAACCCGCAGTCCCGGACACTTTGTACCTCCAGGAGCAAGTCCGTCCTTCGAGGTGCTTTATACTTGTACATGAAATCCAGCAGGTCTTCCTCCTCCTCGTCAGAAAACGCCAATGGGTTTTGGACCTGGTGGGGCTCCCATGCCTTCACACCACCCTCATTCACATCTCCCTCAACCACTTAATGTCCATTTACAATCTACATAGAGGAGACAAAGTATAGCAAGGAGGCGTCAGTGCAGGGAACAAGGAAGGGCAAGGTTAGGCACACAGCACACCAAGCCAGGCCTGTGAGGACAGCTGAGGCCCCTGGGTCTGAAGAAGCACTGACATTATGGGGGCCTCCTTGCAGAGTCTGGGATTGTGAAAGCGCAGTTGTATGAATCTCCAGGCACTGTGCACAGAAACAACCACAAGCTCAGATTCTACTGAAGCTACCAAGGGGGCACCACTTCCCTGGGTGAAGAAAAACTGCCTTAACTGAGACACATCGATCCCTGCAGCTCAGTCAGTCCTGTGATCCCACACCAGATGAATACTCGGAGAAAGACTCTCCTCTAGAGAGGACGGCAGCAATGATTCGGGGTGGGGTGGGGGAGCGGTTTCTATGTTATACACACAGGCCATGTTGACAGTGTATTATACTTGCATATTCAGCTCCAAGCATCCTGTAAGAGACAGGATGTAAAATGCCAGGAAGCCTTAAGGGATAATCTTAAGCAAAGCTATGCAGGTTTTTTTGTTTTTTTCGAAGTCCCAGTCCTAGAGAAGGAGAGAAACCTAATGGAAGGAGAATCTGACAGAAGCCTCTGCCAAAAAAATGACAGCGAGAGTCCTGTTTTAGTCTGCCTTGAATATATCTGCAGGAAGAGCTTTAGAATTAATTCATCTCATTGAACATACAGTGTTTTTTAAATGTTAAATGCTAATACATATTCCATGTCATCTGGCTAGGTGGTTCTATCTTAGTTGAGATGTAAAATATCTTCTGCTCCTACTCAGCTTATTTGATATCACACACACATATCTTTCTATGCTTCATCTATTGTTTTTACCTAGAATCACAGAATGTAGAACTAGGGGGTTCTCAAGCCATCTAGTCCAATCACCATGAGGCCTCCAGGAAACCAGAGCTCTTCCTGGGACACCATGCTCCTAAGAGCATATTCAGCACGAAATGTGCTCTCTCTCCATCAACAATGGACTTGCTAGACTATACCAGCACCAGGTGTGGAGTAAAACAGACAAGTAAACCCTAATCTAGGGCAGTTTTACCAGTTACCACTGCTGTGTTCCCCAACAGCCAGCAGGAGGCAGCACAACACCCAAAGCTGAATTGTAAGCTGGGGTGTGATTGGTTCAGACTGGGCCTTAGTAAGTAGTCCTGAGATCATTAATGTTCCTTTGATTTTTTTTTTTTTTTTTTTTTTTAATTTCTACTCTGCACTTCCCCAGCTTATTTACTCTGGCTTTAGTTTGTCCTCTGGTCCCTTCCTCTGCCCTAATCAGCTGCATCCTATTAAACACAAAGACCTGCAACTCCAGGGAGCCCCCTCTGAATACTCTGGCCCTCCCTGGCCTCCCCACTCTGAGACCCGACAGTGCTTGGAGGCTGTGCCACACAGTTTGTGCTGGGTCCTCATGTCAGTCTCATTGCCTCAGCCAACAGAAGGCATCTTGAGGCTGGGGGCCATGGCTGATCCTTCCTCAGTCTCTCTGAGCGCTGGGCACACAGTCAGTGGCCACTCATCAGCTAAACTAAGTAGAATCCTGAAGTCATCTCAGAGAGCTCAACTCTCATCCCAAGTCAGAGCTTGACACCCATTCACCAAACCAGGAAATTCCTTCTGGACACAGATACCTCCTGCCTGGCAGGAGGGAAAAAAGACCAAAAGCCCTCAGACCAAGGCAGAAACTATAGAAGCAGCCTGCCAGCCCCACCCCAGCAGCAATCCTCGTAACATGGAAGCGGGGAGGATGCTGGTTCGAGTCTGTGCCTCTGCCCATGCTGTACCATTCACATCTGGGTCCAGGGCTTTCCCTGTACTGATGGTTGTGGGCATCAAAAGGTGGCCCAAGGTCACCGTGAGATCCTCAGGCATCTAACAACCCAGCCTGGTCATCTAGTCTGGATTCACTGAGGCTGAGCAATGAACTCAGACATTACCAAAATCACCATCATCACTGTAATCTCAGGACTGAAACCAAAATGGCTTTGAGCATGTTCTCCACTGCAAGGACTATAGGGTAGAAAAGAAATGACCCTCCAGCCCAGTAGGACTGATGGTACAAGGACAACTCAGATATCCAAGCAGGAATAGAAACAAGTGCTCAGCTCAGCAGAGGCTGGGAGCAAAAGAGGCCAGTGTGGACAGTGAGGGAGCCAGAAGTAGCCTCGGGGGAAGCTACAGAGATAACCTCCTAAAAAGGGAAGACCTCTCCTAGTCACTGTGTCTGCTGAGCATCTCTGCCAAGAATGTTGTCTGTAATATTTGCCTTACTCTCAGAACCAGAGAGAATAAAATAATTCTAAACAAGACAAGCTTCCAAGCCTCTGGTTGGCTGTTGCACTGTGGACATGAATCTCTTAACTAATTGTATTTCCCTCTTTGCACTGGTTTCAAGGAAGCCAGGTGTCTTGACAGTCAACACCCTGATGGCATGCATTTAAAATATTATTCTCCCCCTGATTCCATCTTACTTGCCCACTCCCTTTTTCCCTTGCTTCACTTATCTTACTTTGATTTGCTACTTTAGATATATTTCCACAAGTAGACCCAACTCCTTTTTAGATCAGGAAGGAGTATAAATGGAGAAGTGAACCCCACAGAACATAGTCCCAAAAAAGGGGCACCAGGAAGAGCATGAGGGGGAGTAGCTGGGTAGAAAATTCCATGCTCTGCCTCCTCTGTGTCTTGTCTCTGAAGATCTAAAGACAACTGGTCCTTACCCCTGGCAACAGGCCTGAAAGAGTATTGCTTTCCCCATCTTAGTACTCTGATGGCTCCCAGAGACAGCATGTATGAGAGGAGGGTCTCCCATCCAAGGTCATGGCCATAACAACTTGCAAACCTCAGGTGATGGTAGCCATGGCCTTGAGCCTGAAGAGCTGCCACTATGATGCCCAAAGCTGGGCTGCTTCTAGGAAAGGGCGGGGTCTCTGCTGTCTTCCATAGTAGGAAAATGGGTGTGTGGCCTTGGCTGATGTTTTTATATTAGCAAACATGTCAGCCGGACTACAGCAGGCAGGGCCTGCAGGCTCCACCTCTTCTCTCTGTGGGAAAGGCAGGGAGGGAGAAACTGGCAGAGCCTCTCAGCCCTTTAAAGGCCTGTGTAGACTGCACTGGGCCCAGGGCCGCCGCACCCCTACAGTACAGCAGAACCTTTCCCAGGTTAGCAAAAACATCCTACACAGCACACACATTAGTGGGAGCATTAATGGAACACAGCAAACGTCTGCAGAAGAGCACACCCGTCTGGAACACTTACATCCATGTCCCCAACAGCACCGAGGAGAGAGAAAAGAACATTCTGTTAGAGAAGGGTCTTTGGCACTGAAACTCACGCATGTGTGCATACTCATGCACACACACCCATCCACACAGACACACTCACATACACACTCACATGCACACATGCTCGCTCACTTCCCATGCTCTAAACATCAGGCAGCTCCTCCTGCTGTGGTCAGAAGAAGTACACTGCCCAGAGGCCACACTCAAAATGTAACTCTCTCTCTCTCTCACTCTCTCTCTCTCTCTCTCTCTGAGAGGACAAAAAGGATGACTGCTTTTAAAAATTATGTCCTACATACTTGATTTTAAAAAGGGGGGAGGGACACCTCTATGACTAACCACAGGCAGTAATCCAGAGTTCAGTTCTATATTACCTAGAGGTAGGCAGAGAAAAAAGAAGGGAGAGGTAATAGACACATAGAAAAAGAGAGAGACATGCAGAAAACAATAGCGAATCGTTGACAAATGGGACAGGAGCAGAGTAAAGGTGGGAAGAGAATGTTCTGGCATCAGAGATGTGCAGCTTAGAATAGAGGCTGCTGCCCTCTGAGGCCTTTAAGCTCTGTCACTGCCCTAAAAGGCACTTAGCAGCCTCCAAAATGTCTCCTTTTCCCTACCCCCATCATGAATTAAGTCCTGAACTTACGACTCCTAGAAAATGTTCCTGTCTGCTGGGGGCCCTGGGGCCCTGCGTGGCCCCAGATGTAATCTGAATCTTTCCAGGCGTTGGCCTGAGTGAGCCTCCACTGTGACAACATTTCAGGAGACCAGGAGGAAAGTGTCCCCAATACCTGTGAAATCCTCTTGCTGCTTAAGAGTCAGCCTATAGCCCTAAGTGCAAGACAGACCTCCCCCAACACCATCTGCCATCACTGCATAACGCAGTAGAGACTGTCAGAGCTGAGAGGGACACCTTATGGAGGGGGAGACTGAGGCCTGCAGAGTGCAGGGGCTTTCCCAAGGCCTCAGAGGGAATGGTGTAGACCAGTCATCAGAGGGTTCCTTGCATGCAGACCTCAGAGACAGGGAGAACTCCAGAGCCCAGGTTTAAGAGGCCCTTGGAGAGGCAGAGGACCAAGAAAGGAAGGGCGGGGGCAAAGGCTTCCAGGTCTTGAGGCCTCCACCGGGCCTCACCTGCTTCTGACTGTCTAGCAGCCCCCATCATGGCAGCTCCCAACCCACTCTGGGATGAGGAACCAAAACTTGGACACTGAATCCTGGACACACTCTTGTGCATGTGCAGCCTTCCAGAGCTATTCAGTTCCTACAGTCATCTACAGCTCTATTAAAATGCACTTGAAATGCTCTGGAAACACTGTCTGATCATGAAACCACCAGGTGTCATGGCAGGAGAGGGCTTCTGAGAGTAGCACAGAGCAGTGCCAGGGAAAGAATGGAGGAGAGGGCAGCCACTCTCCCCAACCCCCAAATGTCAGTCTCCAGAATTAGAGGCTTTTGGAATGGCTCACGGAATTTACAGACTCAAAACTGCAGTGTGAATAGACAGAAATCCCTGTGATTGTCTGGAACCACTGGGACTGCAGGGTCATTTCCCATGAACTAGTATGTCCACCAGGCCAGCATCTAGTGCCCAGTGCTGGAAACAGCTGCACACAGCCCCTTCATTTCCAACTTGGACCAGGGGGCACCACGGGGACATGGGGTTAGAGTTAGAGCTGGGCTAGGACACTGGTCTCCACCTGCAGCCCTGCTCAGGACTCCTCTGTCAGTTCACTTTAGCCTATGGCCTCCCAACTCTCCAGCTCTTCTTGTTTTTTTGGTTTGGTTTGTTTAGTTTAGTTTTGTTTTGAGACCCAGTTTTGCTCTTGTTGCCCAAGCTGGAATGCAATGGTGCTATCTCAGCTCACCACAACTTCTGCCTCTTGGGTTCAAGTGATCCTCCTGCCTCAGCCTCCCGAGTAGCTGGGATTACAGGCATGCGCCACCTTGCCCGGCTTATTTTGTATTTTTAGTAGACATGGGGTTTCTCCATGTTGGTCACGCTTGTCTCAAACTCCCAAAGTCAGGTGATCTGCCCGCCTCAGCTTCCCAAGGTGCTAGGATTATAGGCATGAGCCACAATGCCTGACCTGATCCCCAGCTCTTCTATAAAGCACTTAAAAAGCTGAGCTCTGAGAGTCTTAAAAATAAAGCAATGGCCAGGCGTGGTGGCACATGCCTGAAGTCCTCGCTACTCCAGAGGCTGAGGTGGGAGGATCGCTTGAGCCCAGAGTTCTGGGCTGCAGTGCGCTATGCCAATCGGGTGTCCACACTAAGTTCGGCATCAATATGGTTACCTCCTGGGTGCGGGGGACCATCAGGTTGTCTAAGTAGGGGTGAACCGGCCCAGGTTGGAAACAGAGCAGGTCAAAGCTCCCGTACTGATCAGTAGTGGGATCGTGCCTGTGAATAGCCACTGCACTCCAGCCTGGGCAACACAGCGAGACCCTATCTCTTAAAAAATAAATAAATGAATAAAGCAATGGAGGCAAAACAGGCCACTTCACACAATGCAATTTCCTGTCCTGCTTATTGCCAATGTGGGAGGGGCATACCATGCCTCCATGGCACCAGGGCTGGAACAAAACTACACTGGGCACCTCGTGTGCCTTCCTTCCTCCCCTGACACCAGCCAGCAGGCTGCAGGCCAGGCATGGCCCTCTAGCCTTCTGAGCCTAAGGCAGCTTCTCCATGGGGAGCCAGGCAGTGAAAAAGGGGCACTGGGTAAGTCCAGCACCCTCACTAGTCCCTAATGTATCTAGTTAAGGATAGGCAACAGGTGGAGCAGGTTATGGCAACCACCAGGTGGCTGTGGCTCCAACAAGCCATCACTCACACAGGAGTGACGGGAAGGCAGCATCAGGAGTCCCTGTCCAGAACTGGGAGACCCCCCCCCTCCCTGGGGTCTCCTGGCTTCTCCAGGCTGTCACCACCACCACCACCACCACCATCATCGTTATCATCACGATCATCCTTCCCAAGATTATTATGGCCCCTTCATGGCGACTTTGACAACAGCACCGTGAGGTCAGGAAGCAGGGATCTCATCTTCATTTTAAGAGGAGGAACTGAAGCTCACAGTGGTTAGGGGATTCACACAGTTACACAGCTAGTAAGTGGCAAAGCAGGACCAGGGCTCCCTTGGCTGCACCAGGACCAGAAACCCCTGGAACTTTAGGACTTCATCATTTCAGAGGACCTTAGTAAGTCCCTGTGTCCTTACCTGGAGCACAAGGAAGTGTGACTCTGTTGCGGTTTTTTTTTTTTTTTTTTTTTTTTTTGTGACAGGTTCTTGCTCTGCCACCCAGCTCAAATGCAATAGCACAATCACGGCCCACTGCAACCTTGACATCCCAGGCTCAAGCAATTCTCCTGCCTCAGCCTCTCAAGTAGTTGGGACTACAGGTGCATACCACCACACGCGGCTTTTTTTTTTTTTTTTTTTTTTTTTTTTAATTGTAGAGATGAATTCTCACTATGTTGCCCAGGTTGGTCTCAGGCAATCCTCCTACTTCTGCCTTCCAAAGTTCTGGGATTACAGGCATGAGCCACTGTGCTCAGTGACCCTGTGGTGGTTTTAAGATATCTCCATACATTCTTCGATGCTCCTCCCTTCAAGAAGTGGAGATTAATTCTCCTCCCCTTGAACATGGGCTAGGCTTAATGACTTGCTTCCAACAAGTAGAATAAGGCAGAAGTGATTAGTGTGACTTCAAAGCCTAGGACAGAAAAGGTACCCTGGCTTCCTGCCTGCCCTCTTTCTTGATCGGCTCACTCCAGGCCAAGCCACCTGCCATATTGTAAGGACACTTAAGCAGCCCTGGAGAAGCCCATGAGATAAGGAGCCTCCAGCCAACAGCCATAAGAGCACCACCTTGAAAGTGGATCCTCCCGTTCGTCAAGCCCTCCGATGACTCAGCCTGGGCTGACATCTTGAGTGCAACCTCTTGAGAGACCCAGAGCCAGAACCACCCAGTTAAGCCGCTCCCAAATTTCTAGCTCACAGAAACTGTAAACTACTGTGTTTGCTGTTACAAAGGGTTAACCTCCTGACCCCTCCCTATGACTATGCAGCTGAAAGGGAGCCCCAGGGTCAGGTGCCCGCTCCTGGTTAGAAGCTCTTCCTGAGTGAGAGCACAGCACACTGCGGAGAGGCTGGCTGCTTACTCACCTTTCCGGGTCCTGCAGGTGGAGCAGCAGGTACACACTGTGGGAATGGGGTGGGGGCACCGTCAGTGACATTCCCCCTGGACAGGGACCAGCCCCAGACAAACAGGGAGGCCCTGGAGAGGTGTGGGGATCCCAGTGTGTACAAGCTAGGGATCCCAGGAATGTGGGTCTCTGTAGAGACACCAAAGTGGGGAAAGAGTCATCTCAGATTCAGTTTCCTCTCAGGTGCAGAAAATAACCTCACCTGGACCACAAAGTCAGTCCTTGCACCCTGCAGGGAAGGCAGGAGACAGAGTCAAAGTTTCCTCTGGGAAATAACTCCAAGCACCCCTGCCCACAGACTCCTCCTGTTTCTGCTTTCCAGTTCAGAATGTCCCCCAGGAAACCTCCTCGGACTCACCTCTGAACCCCAAAGTACTTCGTGTCTGGGCATTTGCAAAGGCCTAACTGGCTGCTGCCTTGTATAGGCCACTGGTCTTGGTGCACATCTGGGCCTTGACATAGAGTAAGTGCTCACTAAATACATGCTCACTGAATGATTCCAAGTCCATGGAAGGCCAGGATCATTCTTTCAACATTTCTTGTACCCTTCCTGGTGTCCAGTGCTAGGCATTCAGTGTATGGTATCTGACTACACACCTCCCAGCTCATTGTGCAGGGAGGGCCATGTCAGTCCCCACCCACCCTGACCCTTTAAGCAAAGAGGAAAACTCCAGGCAAGAGAGAGGGGGTCAAGCCAAGTGCACTGTCCAGCCCCATTCTGGCTACTGAAAGCAGCAGGAGAGAACTCCTCTTCCCCTTCTCCAATGCCCAGACCCTGTGTCCTCAGAGCACATGCAGAGGTCTCTTGTGTGCCAGGCATGTGGTTGGTATGCTGGGTGGGTGTTTCCAGAGGGAAGAACAGAACCCTTGTCTGCCAGCCAGGAGCTGGCAGCACTGAGTGACCGTGACCGTGCAGGGACAGACTTCGTGCCCCTTTCTGCCACCCTCATTTGCAGCATCTTCTTTCTTTTCCTCAAGATGCAGGAGGTCATGTGGATGTCACTTCTCAGCTCACAGCAAATGGTCTGGACTGGTTCATGGGATCCTCTTCACTTTTTTTTTTTTTCTTTTTTTTTTGAGACAGAGTTTTGCTCTTGTTGCCCAGGCTGGAGTGCGATGGTGTGATCTCGGCTCACTACAACCTCTGCCTCCCAGGTTCAAGCAATTCTCCTGCCTCAGCCTCCCGAGTAGCTGGGATTACAGGCATGGGCCACCAAGCCTGGCTAATTTTGTATTTTCAGTAGAGACGGGGTTTCTCCATGTTGGTCAGGTGTTCTTGAACTCCTGACCTCAAGCGATCCACCCGCTTCGACCTCCCAAAGTGCTGGGATTACAGGCATGAGCCAACGTGCCCAGCCACCCCCCTCACTTTTTATGTGCCTTTACACGACTTTTATTCCCACACCCCACTCACATTCTCCTTCCTCCTCAAGGAGTGTCAGTTTTAACATTTTAATATGCAACTTTTTGTTTCAACATGTTCTTTGTATAAACTTCGTATTGTTACTTTGCATGATGGGCATATATTTTTATTGTAAATAAATTGCTAGATAAAATATTCTGTTTGTACTTTTCTTCACCTGGCATCATGCTTTCAAGTTCCACTGTGCGTACATTTAAATCTGTTGCTTCCAGCTGCTGCAGAGAATTCCACAGGGTGCAGCTCCCATCTCTCTCCAGGTTGTCTTCAACTCCTGCCACCTGTCCAGGGTTTGCAAATTCTCTGGTTTGCTCTCCTCACAACCCTAAGACATAGGCTGAATAGGGATTATTGGGCTTTTTTTACAAAGAAGAAAGCTTAAGGGAATCCGGTCTGTCTTCTGTGCCAAGGTCAAATCCTATGGTAGCATCTGCCTGGGTTCTGAGAGAAGTTCTGAGGCTGAATCGAGGCTCAGAAGGAGCGAGCATGCCTTGTTGTGCTGCATTTGCCGTGTCTGCACAGGCCTGGCATCACCCAGCCAGGATGAAGTCTGGCCTCCTTCCCTCTTCTGGGGCCCTTTCTGGCGTCCGAGGCCCACACTGGGGGCTGAGCTGGGAAGGGCTTCCTCTGCTAGACTTCCTCCCAGGTACGTTGACTTTACTTCAGGATATGACAGCCCCAAAGCCTCTGACCCAGCCAATCTTGCCCATATCCAGGCCTAGGCCATCTTTCACCTGTCTTCCTTTTTGAGATAGCTTTTATTTTAGGCTCCAGAACAGTTGGGAAGAGCACCACACTGCCCCTGGCCTCCCTGCTGGGTCACATCTTTCCTCTTTGCCCCTGTGGTCTTAGGTGCTGAAGCCAAGGGGAGCGGCAGTGAGGAGGGCTGGGCATGGTGCAGCACAGCCGGTCCTCTTGCTCCCCACTGCCTCCCTGGGGCATGGCAGGGACATCACCATCTCTGCTCATGGAGAGTGGCAGAGCCAGCACCAAAGCAAATCATCCCAAATGCTTTTCTATGTGGTGCTGGGCTGGGAAGATGTTCCAGGCCCAGAAGACATTCCCATCTCCCTGCAGACCCTGCCAGCTTCTTGCGTTCCCAGTTCTGAGGCTGCCCTGAATAAGTCACCAGCAGAGGTCTAGACAGGAGGCCAGCAATCTGGGGCTGGGGGGCCTCAGCCCAGTACACAAACTCTGAGCCTGCCTCCTCTGCTGGGCTCACCTCTATAATGGCAATGCAAACTCTTGGAGGCAAAGGGACCCCAGGGCCACCTAGGCCCACTTCCTAGCCAAAGCAGGAATCCCTCCCTAGAACCTGACCATCCAACTTTGGCTTGGGTCCTTCCAATGTCAGGGATCTCACTACCTCCC